TCGGCTGGCGGCAGGGGGGGCCAGCCGCCCCATGGGGAGATGCCCGATTAATTCCCCGGCATACAGCAAGCACTCTGAAGCTCTGATGGGCACGAAGAATTGCAGAACCCACTCATGCTGCAAGGACGAAAGCAAGACGCACAGAAAGCCTGAGCTTTGAAAGCCTCCAAAGGCTCCTCACTCCCCAGAGATTAAGGGAGGAAAGCAGCCAAAGACCTTTGTAAATCTCAGCTTAAGTTCTTCTGAGAGACTCGAGCGGCATACAGCAAGCACTCTGAAGCTCTGATGGGCACGAAGAATTGCAGAACCCACTCATGCTGCAAGGACGAAAGCAAGACGCACAGAAAGCCTGAGCTTTGAAAGCCTCCAAAGGCTCCTCACTCCCCAGAGATTAAGGGAGGAAAGCAGCCAAAGACCTTTGTAAATCTCAGCTTAAGTTCTTCTGAGAGACTCGAGCTCTTTTCTGCTAAGCCTTGCCGGCGGCCAGGACAGGTCACCCTCCTGGGCAGTAGAGGAGAGTGCTGGGGACAGCCCAAAATGTCCAGCTCCCATCGCCTGACCCCCAGGAATCCTGCCCGTTTGGCGTGCAGGGCTGGGGAACGCACGCTCAACTTTATTCCTTCAAACAACTGTAGCAAGGATGGGGCAAGGAAATTCGGAAGCGTTCAGAGGCCTCTAGAAAGCCTGGCAGCTCCTCTTATTTCCCAGCAGAGGCTGTTTGCCGCTGGTGAAAGTCCCTTGCACAGCCACCAGCCATTTCAAATCAGGCTGTGGCCAGACCCCCAGGTGCATGCAGCGACAAAGGGAGGCGCAGACAGCCAAGTCACCAGCCGCCTGAAAGCACGGCCGGTGGCCAGGCCTGCTCCAGCCAGCACGGAGCAGCTCCAAGCACAGCAAGGGAGCTGGGGGCTGCCCCACCGGCGGCACCCCCAGGCCAGTCCTTCCCCGCCTGCGTTACCTGCCGTGCAGGTCCCCTCCCGGCAGCAGCGCGGGGCGGCTCTCTTCCTCCTGCACCCAGCCGCAGTTGGACATGGCGTAGTGCAGGATGGCTTCTGTCACCGTCTGCGAGCCCTGGCCTTGCACGCACGCCTCTATCTCGGGGACCGAGAGCTGGCTCTGCAGGAAGAGGTGCAGCCGGCTGTCGGAGAGGAGGACGACGTTCTGCACAACCCTGTGCGCAGAGAGAGGAGAGCGAGTGAGGCAGGCGGCCAGGAGCACCGAGCACGCTGAGCCCTGCCCTGCCAACGGCTCACGTGCCCCATGCCCTGCTGCCACCTCAGAGCCAGCATCTTCTAAGCAAGACTGGAGTGGTGTGTCCCCTGCCTCTAGCCAGCCCTCACAAAAGCTCCACTCACTTCTCCAGGAACTGCTGCAGTCCCTGTCTCCGCTTCTCGATGAATTCATCCGTGCTGCCCACGAAGAAGGTGGATTTCCCGGGCAGCTCTGGGACAGGCCTGCAGGCACAGGGCAGAGGCAGCAGTTTAGGGTCAGATCACCCCAGCGCCGGAGCAAGGAGACACAGGAGCACCGTGACAGCAGCAGCAGCCAGGACCCTGCTTTGTGCAGAGCTGGATCCCAGGAGCTCAGGTATCCCGTGTTTGTGTCTGGGGTTTCTATCTACATCTGTTCTGAGTTCACGTGGGTCTCCCAGTGCAATGGGAAATGGTGTCTGGCTGCAGGAGGGGGAAAGGAGGGAGAACAAGGCATGCTTACACCAAGCCAGCATTCTTCTGGAGCTGCCGCCTCAGCCACACGAATTCACGGTACCGGCGCCGCACGCATGAGGTCTTGGCAGTAAAGGCCTTGCTGTTGGTCTGCAAAAAAAAAAAAAAAAACCCAACCCACCATGGAAATAATCCACGTGATTGAGCGGCAGCAAGGCAGAGGAGGGGAGGATCTTGCCTGCACAGACCCCTGGGCGCAGTCGCTAAGGGATCCCCTTGAAGCACGGGGTTTTGGGGAGCATTGGGAGAGCTGAAAGCGCCTAGCCTGAGCAGGCTCCAGGGGAGAAGCTGGGTCTCAGACCCGCACGGAGACAGCAGAGAAGGAGGGATGGGCTGCTGAGGGTTCCCCCTTCATCGCTCCTTCCATCCCTGCTCAGCACAGCCAGACATGGCCAGACAACTCTGCTCGTGAGCCTCGCACGTGGCACAACCGAGCTCTGCAGCTCACCCCTCTCCCTCAGCCGCAACTCACGTGGAGGAAGATTTTATAATCCACATAAGAGTTCCAGGAGCCTTCGTTCTGCACCCGGGGGTCCTGAACACGCACTGTGGTCAGCTCCTACGGCACAAACACTGCCTGAGCGTGGGGAGGCAGGGCTCACCGCCCCGTGCCAGCATCACCTTCTTCGCGGGGCTCTCAGGGACAGGTACCCACGATCGCTCCGGCTTGTCCGGCCGTCCTGCCCCAGGGGCAACGCAAACGCCTCCAGCCTTTCCCATCCCTGTCACCAGCTGCCCCTCAGCTCTGCCCCACGGACCCTGCCCAGTGTTCAGCACCTCTCGCCCCTCGACACAGCGCTCAGCCAAGACCACCCGCTCCAGCGCTGCCAAACCCCAGCCAGGAACAGAAAAAAAAACCCCACGTCAGAAAGGGTCTTACTTCCTCTCGGTTCTCCAACATCCTAGAGCCAGAGCCCAGCGGCAAACATCTGTACGGAGGAAAAAAGGGATTTAGCAAGACAAGATCAACACATCAGCGTCTCCCATGTACTCTGCATCCCCCCAGGCACCTCACGCCTCTGTGCTGTCCAGCCCCCGTGTCTGCACCCAGCTGCCCTCCCTGATCCTCGCCCCTCAGTCACCGCGAAATAAAGAGGATGCGCTCAAATCCAGCAGCCTGCAGGGGAGAGAGCATCCAGCATTAATCTCCCACGTGCTCCTGAGGCAACGTGGCCTGTCGGGCTCTCGCTGGGGTGTGCTGGAGAGTGCATTGTGACCAGAGCCGGAGCCTGCAGCATGTTTTTCCTCCACGGCTCATCTTCAGGTCACCCCTGCCCACAGAGAGGCACTGGGATCCTGCAGCTGCCTGGAACAGCACTCAAAAATCCCCAGATCACAGAGGTGAGCAGGGCTCCCAGCTCAGGTGGGCTGTTACCACCCGAGGACGGGACGGGGCAGCCGGCCGCTCCTGCTGAGCTGCCTGCCCTCCTCTCCCACAGCATGTCCCTACTCTGGGCAGGTAACGGGGTCTCTGGGAGAGCCGGACACAGCTCCTGGAGAGCTTTCTGGAGAGCTTTTCCCCCAGTATAACTCCCGTTAGCCAGGAACGGCCTCCTCGTTGCACAGCACCGAGATCCCAGGTCCCCAGTTTGCTCCTGCGGAGCCAGAACAGGCAAGATAGGAGGGAGACAGGGTGGAAGAGCCCGGCCCACTCCCTGCATGGGCAGGTTTGCACTGAAATGCCAGCAGAGCTGGTTAGGCTAGGGAGGAGAAAACCCTGCTTTTATCACAGTTCCCTTCTCCTACAGGCCTCCCTCTCCCCTCGCTGCCTGCCCAGCATGAACTCGGCTGGGCTGTCCAAGCAGGGGAAGCAGCCCACATCAGGACCCGCTGCCCCTCGCCAGAGGAAACCTGCTTTTCTCCTGCGTAGATCAGACCCGTTCCCCAGCTGCCACCTCAGTAAATCTCCCCTTAGCACCAGACGCAGATACGCTGTTTCTCGCTGGCTCTTTCGCAAGTCACCTGAATAAGCAGCAAACGCGGTACCAGATTTCCCCACCCGGCTAGGTTTCGTGTCTGCATTGCGCCCGCTCTCCCTTGTGCCCCTGCCTAACCCCCCCCTTCCCCTTCTCCCAGCAGGAGCTGGGGGGGCTGACGAGCGTCGGCGAAGCCCTTGGGGAGCCACAGAGGTGCCTGGTGCCCCCCGTGCTGCCCAGCTTTCCCAGCTCAGCTGCACCGCGAGCTGCTCGCACGCTCCCATCACACCAGCCTCTTCCTCTGCCACATCCCTCCGGCACTCCCAGGTCCTGCTGGACCGTGTCAGCTAATTTGCTGCACCATTACGTGCTTCTGCAGTAATTCCTGTTCTGCAACACCACCATGAATACAGTGCCAGGCCTTGGAGGAAGGTGGGGAGGGGGACGACAGCGAGATAACCTCCCCATACCCAATAAACACACAGTCCAGCCAGTGAAAACCCTCCCAGCCAGAGCAATCCCCCTGGCAGACACACTGTGCGGACACAGACCAGGAATACTCATCAGGGGGAGCTGGAAGACCAAGCCTGTCCCGTGTCCTGGCTTCACCTCCTCTGTGGGACTATTTGCAAGAGGTTTTGGAGCCCCTGGGATGAGCCGGCAGCTCAGGACTTTGCCTGTCACAGCCCAGGCTCCCAAGGGACACGGCTGCCTGCCTGCAGAGGCAAAGCAACCCTTCACCTGTTCCCCATTCCTGGAGTCTTGCCTTTTAGGCCATGAGAGTTGCCAAGTGCCAGGCAGCTCTGGAAACCCGGGCTTTATTTATATGCTCAGATGTGAAGCAAAGCTTTTCTGAAGACAGAGCTAATTTTAGCTGGGACAAGGGGAGGGGTTGAGCCACAAACCACGCTTTAAAAATCTGGCTCCACCGGTTTGCAGGTACTTTCTGTAAGACTTCAGCCACCCGATTCCACCCAGAGAGCACAGAAAGCATTAATAACAGTGGAGAAGAGTTTCAGGATAGACAGCAAGAGACCCAGGCCTGCTCAGAGATGTCTCTCAGTAACTGAACTCTTGCTGGAGTTGGGTCAGGCTGCTGCTGTTTCCAATTTGAGCTGTAAGGGGGAGGGAGAGGGGAACCTACCAAAGGAAAAAAAAACCAAACCACACACCCCATGCTTCAGCGCACATGATTCTTCCCTTGGGGAAGGAGGGGAGCAAAGGAGCCAAATGTGACATGAGTCACTTTGCTCAGCACGGTAATGGGAGAGCTCCGATCCCCCCCCGTGCTGGGGGCTCCCAGCCAGAACCAGTTCAGCAGCAGAACTTGACCATTATGTTCCCTGGCCTCCCCAGGGGATGCTGCCGCCGTCCCGTTGCTTTTAAAGCTCCTTGCTCTGCATAATAGCCCTGCCTAGAAGATTAAAAATGCAGGAGGGAGAAGAGAGAGACTCAGAAATTGCCTAATGGAATAGCGGAGGGTTGCCAGGAAGAAGAATTTAATTTCCCAGCTACTGAAAGGGTGCTGCGAAGAGCAGAGACCCAGGGGGGCGGGGGGAGACAGCTCTCTGCAGTCAGCGAGGATGCGGACGGGCTGTGGGGAAAACCGAGATCAGGGAGTCCGAGCGCTCAGGTCTTCTACCTGTACTTTCACCCAGAGTTGGACCAGGAAACGCATAATCTTATTTACGCTTCATTTGGAGTTAATTGATCTTAACTTGATAAATCAACTTAAACCCAATGGAGAAGGCGGCTCTGAGTGAGCTTTAAACAGTTACACCAAATCCTCTTTCAGGGCTTTTGCTTAAAGCCTCAGTTTAAGGGGCCCTGGGATACGTGGTTTGGGTTTGGTTTAATCTTCCTCCAATTTGCATTTCAGTGTTTCCAGGGCTCGCACTTTCAATGTCTTCTAGCTAGCAGGACGCGAGAGGTGGAAGCTGCGCAGAAACGCCCTACATCCATGCTCCCGGAGCCTCACGACTTTCCTGGGCAGGACAGGGCTGGCTGGGTGTTTAACGAGCCAACGGCCAGACTCGGGGTGGATTGCCTCCCCCAGCCCTGTACTCACACTGCTGACAGAGGAAATGAGCTTTTCTCTTTTCCTTGCTATTTTTTATCTTCCTTGCCGATTCAGGCTCATCCTCAGCAGCAGTCTCTACCCCTCTACCAGCAGGACCTGTATCAAACAATCTTTCCTAAGCAGCACAC